GTTAAACCTTAAATTTCATGTTTTCTTTCGGCCTAGCAAACTTTCGCGGTTCGCAGGATCTTGATTAGGGAATCGTTTGCAATACAGATGCACGGTTTTTATTGCACGCGAGGTACACTTGCAACATATCAGTTAATTGACTGAAATCCATTAAAAAAAATTAAGCCAGCAACCACAGTAAAGTTTCTCACGATTTCTGTTACATTCGATGCCCCCGATAATAATAATTTAAAACCTAGTTTAAAACATTTTTGTTGCATTGAATTCGGACAAAAACTGTAGGCGCTACAGGTTGAAGCGTTTTTTAAACTACCCCCTGTATTGTATCCAGACGTGAGACGATCCATTTTGCCTTTGTGGATGCTCTCCTCCCAGATATCCCAATCGGCCTTTGTTGAGTGCCCTCGTCCGACACTACGCTCTTAGGATATAAGAAATTATCACCGATCACGATAAAGGGTCGAGGAGAACCGGTTAACCCCCCCCCGGCTCCCAACTCTGATAAAATGTGGGTGAAAAGGGTGGTAATTGACAGGGAACAGTTCCTTTCGTTGAGACCTTTAATCAGATTACCTTGAAAGGTAAAAACATTTCCGCCCCCCCTCCCCCCAACTCCGTCTTCCCACGTCACTCTTATCTCTAAAAGCAGTCGCGGAGGAAAGTGGTAGAAACCAATCCCTTTCGTTGAAACCTTTCATTAGACTACCATGGACGGTAAAAAGTGTGATTACCCCACTTCCCATTTTCAAAAATTTTGTTTGCCAAGCGTATACAAAATCTGACACAAAAAGACGCAAATGAATATTATGCACCTTTTGCTTCCAAACCGCATCTCGGAAAACAATTCATGGGGGGAGGGGGCTTAAAACAATAAAATTTGAAGACTCTCTGCAAAAACCCAGCACAATTACCTAAAAAGTTCAATACCCCGGAATTCTTCTAATTTAATTATTTTAATTTTGTCATAGTCAGTATGCAGTTAATTTTGACCTATAAAAGGTGGCGTAAAAGTATTTATTGTTTTAAATGGTCCATTTGGCTCCAAATAACATGTATTTGGAGAGTGCACACCATTTTTTTCCCGGCACAACTTTTGGGAGCCAAAAAACCTCAAAATGTTTGGAGTTCTTTCAGTTTTTCGCTTAAACCTCGAAAACGGTCCATATTTAATGAATAACACTTATTTAGTGAAAAAGAAAACAAAATTCTGCGGTGATCAAAAGATGAACAAACAAAATCGGTCCGATAGAAAAATTTTTACAAGATCAAAGAACACCGATTTTTTCCAACTTTTCTAAAAAAAACTGAGTTAACCTTTTTTTAATGCGTTGTGGCTCCTTGCTTGTTTGTTTGTTCATCTTTTCACTTTTGATCGACGCAGAATTGTGTTTTCTTTAATATACTTACTAAAGAAGTTTTCTTCATATAAAATATGGACCGTTTTCGAGTTTTAAGCGAAAAACTGAAAAAAATCCGAACATTTTGAGGTTTTTTGGCTGTCAAAAATTGTGCCAAGAGAAAGTGGGTGTGTACTCTTCAAATACATGTTATTTGGACCCAAATGGACAATTTAAAACGATAAAATCGTTTACACCACCTTTTGCAAGATTCGCCCCTTCTGACTGCTCGGGCCGTAGCCAGATCAGTTACTAGCGGGCAGGAAAAATATTAATAATTTTCTGTGTTCTGGTGAAGGAATTCGTTTTTAACGCAATCCACGAAAGTGGAGCGCTGATGACTTCACATTTCTGTCCGTCTGCGTGTCGTTCCGTACTATAGCTCAGTCGCTAGACCTCGTATCGACTATCAAAAATTAACTTTGGCATTCATCACGTGTTATAGCTCTAAATTGGTCAAAATTGTTATTTATGCACCAATTTTGTTGGGAAAACGATCAAACTCGATTGCTCGATGACCAAGAAATAATACATGCCTATTTTTGCCGACTAAAATATTTTTATCGTTATTTATGCATCGATTCTCTTGAGAAATTCAATTGCGCAATGCCCAAGAAGTGATCCATGTGTCTTTTTGTTCACAAAAAATGTCAAAATCGTTATTTATGTACCGATTTTCTTGGGAAGACTAGTTTTCGCTATAAGAAAGCTTATGGTTCCAGATGGACAACTATCAAGAATTAATTTTAGTAGCAATCACTTTATTACCCAATATCGATCTAAATCCTTATTTAACAACCAATTTTTTTAGGAAAAAGACCAAACTCGATGCCGAAGAAATGTGTGTATCGTATCCACTTAAAAAGTTGGAGGTAATTTGTAGATCTCTCCTCGGATCTCTCTTATGCCTGTACTACGTATTGCAGGTGGTAACAAAGATGATAAAATGATAATAATACAGGGGGAGTTTTTTTCATTGTCACCATGGGGATCTCGTACGAGATGCAAAGTCGCTTAAATGGGCAAAGTTACGCACGCATACTAGACTATAATAAAAAATGCTTTATTTTTGATAATGTGATTAGCTGAAACACACCATGTTCTTGTATTAGAATACCATGAAGGGTAGAACATGGGTCCCCCCCCCCCTATTCTAAATTTTAACTTGGCACCACTATGCATGCGTATGGAAAATCTGAGACCAATTGGTTGTCGTATGTAAAAGTTATGCACGTTTTACTTTCAAACCAGTATCTCAGGAAATAATTCGTGGGCGGCCCCCCTTTTAGACAGCGAAATTTGATGGCCGTCTGGCACACCTTCAAGTTATAGGCATACTGCAAAAAATTCCAGGACTCTAGGACCATTCCCCCAGTAGTTCAAAACGGCAGAAGTGGGTCCGGACGGACGGACAAAACCCAAACCATAGCAAATTTTTTTTAATTTTTAAAAAATGCGCTAAAAATGGTTTTTGTGCACTGTTTTTACCACCCGTACATTAGTAAGGGAGTTATTGCATCGGGGTAAAAAATGACCCCCCACTTTTTTGACGGAAATGCACGTTTTGAAGCACCGGGAATCTGAATCAAACAAAATATCGATGATGTCTGTCTGTCGGTCCGTCTGTACTCTCATTTCCGAGTTATAAATAGGGTTTCTGGACTATAGCCCAAGGTGCCACTTTCAAGGGAGCGGCAAGATGTGCTAAATTATATTTTTTGCATTATTTGCAATTCCCCGCCTCTGTGGTTCTTGGTGAATTTTTTTTCAAAATCAATACAGATAAATAACCGTCTGAAACTTGGTCACTAAGTAAACAATTTTACTAATACAAACATTAGTTACGGGGGCAGTCGAGCTAAATATACCCCAGGGCGCTAAAAACATAGCCCGGGGTCTGACTGTTGTACAGATTATTGAGAATGAAGTAAACATGCGATGCGTTCTTTACCTTTAATTTTACCACTGAATAAAGAATCTGAACTTTATTCAATAACCGGCATAATAAATTAATAATTTAGCACCTAAGTAGCGTTTTTTCATGTGAGGAACAGTTTTGGTTTAACCAAATTTTAACATCGTTGATTAGTTCGATTAGTTGATTGATTAGCAAAGGCGACCGGGAAGCAAATATATTTTGCTTGGTCTAACAAAAAAGTGTAGTACAATTTTTTAAATAATGCAATCAACCAAATGCGCTTTATAACATGACAATCGTTATCATTATATAAAAAATAATCGCGTACGTACAAGGACCTGCAGAACAAGCGTGTCGCTAAAAAATCATTCCGAAATATAGATCCATAATGATATTTGTCCCTTTGATAGTTTATAAATTCGAGGATAAATAAATTACCACTGCATGAGTGTTCACATAATATGCTCATTCGTGCAGACGTAGACGGCGAGTTGAATTTCATTTTTACAATCGTTATAAATAGGTATAATTTGCTATCAGCATTGAGTGCAGCTATCAGCTTTCAAGATAAATTTATTCAATGTTATCTTTTATGAAGCGCCAAAAGCGGCATCTAGTTTTGTATAACCATGGTATAACCCAAATATTTAACATTTTACTTCGCAACTGCCATCTGTATATGTATAGTACAATCTTAATGTTTAGGGTAATTTTCCACGCTTAGCAAGAAACACGAGGGAGCGGGACCGCGGTCTTAAGCTTGAATGATTTAAGCGATAGCAACTTAAGGTTTGCAGGAAGATTATTATAGACCTTTGTGATCCTATATGAAAACTATCTATTGAAAAATTGCGTTCTTTGCACAGGTGGCGTTAGTGGTCCTTTAAAACTTAAATTGAGGTTATGTACATCAGTTCTAAAGGAGATTTTCCGATACAGGTACGTCGGTGACTTGGTAACTATGATGTTGTGATACAGTGCAGCCGTATGCAAGAAACGCCTTTGCGTCATATTAAGCCAACCATGATGTCAGTCGGTCGGTCCGTGTGTACTCCCATTTCCGGCCAAACGGCTGAACCGGTTAGAACACATATTCTCAGGAATAAAAGGAACAGCTAAAAATCGTTTGCACAGAACGCGCATGCCTGCGGGTGATATCTGCGCCATGTCAAAAAAATTACATAATAATCAATGTTTGAATTTTCCAATTCAATACAGTACTAGTAGTCCAATGTACAGAAATTGGCTACAGTGACTATGAATTCATAAATTTCCATTAAAATTATGTTGGGCTTTTCTTAGCCATATTATGATACTTACTAATGAAAACAATTAGCATACACGATCTTTGTAGGTGTACATATGATTTATGTTTTTAAATGTGCACTTGCTTCATGCTTTCTGGGGCGTACTTCTATCTGTCAATGAAATTAACCTACGCATAGCGTGCTTTGAGTAACCTTGCCCCCTATGCACACTTGGTGTGTGTTATTTGATTTCTCAATTTGCTTTGAAGCAGCACTATATCATGTAATTGTCATTAGAGAATTTATTACGTTTAGTATTTGGGAATATGATTAAAATGCTCAAACGAAAGTGGGCGATACCCCATCAACATATTTACATAGAGATCTTCATCGTTAATGCAACTGTGTGTTTATTAACAACCATTTCAGTGATGGTCAACATTATTTTGAATAAACTGTTGTTTTAAAACAAAGTTTAACGTTTTCTTTTCTATTCTAGAACCGACGGAACAGAGTCGCCAATTTTAGAAGAACAAGAAACGACAAATTCGGATAAACCAAAACAGCTTGTAAAATATGGGGAGCTAGTCATATTAGGGTAAGTGTTGTTTGGTCACGTTTCCGAAGTAAGTTGAATCGTTTCAGATACAATGGTTCTTTACCGCAAGGTGATCGGGGTAGAAAAAGAAGCAAATTTGTTTTGTATAAGCGGCAGGATCCAAACGGAGTTAAAAAATCTAAACATTATGTAGTTAAGACGCCTCACTCCTCACAAGCTATATTAGATGCTACACAACATTCTATATCATATACATTATCGAGAAGTCACGCTGTTATTGTTGAATATACATCTGATGACGAGACTGATATGTTCCAGGTATGTATTGTTATCTGCCCACCGTTTATTTAATAGGTAGGTACTTTAATTTGAAGCAGTATTTTATGGAAAAATACATGCGCAATGTCTGGTTCTCACTGTACGTGATCTACCAAAACAGTCATCAGGTGAATCTATCGGCCTACCAGTCATAATAAATCTTTACATCTTGTTGCGACCTTCCATTTTCTCTTTAAGGGTAACCTCTTCAGATACTAAGTTTCTAAGTCGGTTTCTAAGTAATCAGAATTTGAAATTTTGACTCCATCAACGAATGCATTTCATACACTCCCTCAAGCTAAAGCTTGCGTTAATTAGTTACACATTGTTCATAAGAAACGATGTTGACACCTTTTGATATTTTTTTTATGAATAGATTAAAGCATACAGATATTTTAACTCTCCCTCAAAAAATACTCATATTACTGTAGACTATAAGTGAAACAGCTGTGAACTTAGCCTTTGCCCTAACCTTGACTCCGTATCAATCATGGGATCGCGATGAAAATAGTCGCTGCACATCTTTGATAATTTTCTACAAAATAGCAAAAACAGATTTGATACCATTTGCTGCACAGTACTTCATAGTACAAAACTCCAACGGATCTGCCCTTCGATTACTGGATGGTGGCTATAGTGGAAGTACTGGATTCAATTAAATTGATCCCAGCTGCATAACGATGAGAAATAAATCTTCTGGGCTTAATACCTTGTATAAATTAAACTAATTAATTTAATATTATTTTGTAATCTAAGTGACCATAAATGGACCACAATTGTTATTAATTGACTTTACATGACCACGAAAATTCATTTTAGCTAAATGAAAAGAGATAGAAAAAAAGTTAAATACCTAAGTTATGGGGTTTCTCTGAAAACGCCAGAAAATGTTAAGTAAAAAACAAATGAATATCGCAACGTTAGTAAAAAATTCAAATTTGATAAATTTTTAATGGAACGGCCTGTATATTTTTCCAAAATTGAATACATCTTTTCTTTCCGATTACAAAAATGTATATGTTGACATTTGCTTTAGCCGTTTCTGAAATATTTGTATTTATAAATACATCATCAAACTGTTTTACCAATTCGTACTTGCCATGACAAAATAAATGATTTGACCGTCATTATTAATTGGTTATTTATTCTGCTGTCAAAATTATTTTATTCCATTCCTTCTATGAAATCGGTTATACAGGGTGGTGACTTGCGTCGCGCATCATAGGGATTTCAATGTAAAATTCATAACATGCCATTATTGGCTCCCCAAATTATTTTAGAGCAAAAATGTATGAAGGTTTTTTATAGACAAAAATTTTTTACGTCAATCAACCGCGTTAGTTTCCAATTTTTTACATAATGATCTTTTTCAATAATCTGTGATGCCATGGAATTTTATAATACAAAAACTACAATATCCGTCATGCCATGGAATGTCTGCTATAAAACAAATCAAATTCTATCAAAAAGTATTTATATTTAGAACAGCGAATTCAACATAAAGAAAGACCAAATTACTAAAAACGGTTTGCTAATACAACAATTGACAGTAAATGTTCGAATAAGTCACCATTAACTGCAAGACAGTAACCAAGTCGATCATAAAATCCAGCTGCTAATTGACAACTTGACATCTTTTTGTTTTAGAAAATTCCATGGCATCGCAGATTATTCAAAAAGATGCGGGTTTTATTTTCTCAATTTTCCGTCTTTACTATGTAAAAAATTGAAAACTAATACGGTTTATTGACGTAAAAAATTTTTTTCTACAAAAAACCTTCATACATTTTTGCTCTAAAATAATTTGGGGAGCCAATAATCGCATGTTATGAATTTTACATTGAAATCCCTATGATGCGTGACGCAAGTCACCACCCTGTATAGAAGAAGAAAAGGTAGATTATATTACAAACAAAAAATGTATTTATTTTATACTAGCAGTTTCGGCGAAACTTCGTACCTGAAATCCTGTTCCTGTGGGAATTTTAGAAAGCTCGTGGGCATACGTTTAACCATTCCAAAAAGTTTCATCGCAATTGGATTAGCGGTTTTAGGTAGTTATAAGAGACATACAGACAAACATATTTTATTTATATTGACTATAGCAGACATTCCCATATAATGCCATTACAGTATGCACATTTTAAGTCCGTTGAGATTTTGTGAGTTAAGAGACATGTAGGACATGGTGGTGATGTGTTGCAAAATCACACTGTGCACATTTTAAACATTTGGAAGTATTTCGGGTTATCAGATGTTTACTTAAATTTTAGGAATGATAAATCAAATTTAAGTAGGTGTTGTAAAATGTTCAAGCATTTATTATTTGAAAAAATTCGCGCATTTTCGCGCACATTTAGGTGTTATCAAAATCATAATATTTGTTCTGGAAGCAGTCATACACCTAGATAGGTACATTAGTGTATTGTTATTTTACCAGAATCGAGAAGTTGAGATAAACTGCGAAAGTCGAGCACGCTTATTAGCGTTGACCCCGCTGACAAACGTCTCTCATAAAAATACACACGCACTGTTGCCGGTGTATGTTGAAAATGCAATGTGCTCGCACATTTGTGGCGCAAATGCGCGAGTATTTGCTATTGTGCGCGGGGAATATTCGCGCACTTAAGTGTGCACAGTGTCAAATCCAATGACCCCGTGGAGTCACACTTCTTTGTCCCTGCCAAACGCTTGAACCTATTCGGTTGAAACTTTGCACAGTAGACCTATATGCCACATGTAACAAGTCTATTGAAAATGAGTCAAATCCAATGACTCCATGGGGTCACACCGAGGTGCTCTGCCGCTTTTTTAAACGCTCCTTATGGGTTTATTGAACCTATAGGGGTTGACAATTTGGGTCTTTCATACTCAAACCTTTTCGCCTTGATCGAAAACTGTTACTTGTCTTCAGCATAAACAAATCGCAAAATTTTGCTCCAAAAATGGCTTGAAGAGCAATTACAAGACTGACATATTTTATGCAATTACTCCATAAACGATAAGGCATTTTATATATGAGGCACTGTATACATTAAAATTATAATTTTATTTATTACAAACAAAATACAGCACATCTTCAAAGTTCATTGACTTAACATTATTTTTTGACATAGTCCGCCTCTTGTGTAACGCACCTGTGTCTTCCATGCAGCAGTTGTCTAATACCTCTGGCTGCATGGACACCCATTGGTGGACATTTTCTATCAGGTAATGTGATAAGACAACTTTTTCCCTCACCACTTAAAAACAAATGAAAATATGTTTAATGTTCCTTTCTCAAAAAAATGATACACAGTTTCCTTTTTAAAAGCCTATTTCGTACACGATCCTAATAGTCTGATAATGTTTTTTTCCATAAGTTATAAATTAAGAAATGGAATAGTGCTATTGAACTTTGCTATTAAGTATAACAAAAAGAATGGTGTGTTCTTATCAATTTTCTAGAAATGTGATATGCAATCAATTTCAAATATGTAATTTCTATTCATTGATGTCTCGCATTACAAAGATAAATGTAATTTGTAAAAATATTGATAGAAAATACTCATTAATTTTTTCATTACTGCTTCTCTCAAGAACTAAATTTAGTCATGTAAAATAAACGCTCCTTATGGGTTTATTGAACCTATAGGGGTTGACAATTTGGGTCTTTCATACTCAAACCTTTTCGCCTTGATCGAAAACTGTTACTTGTCTTCAGCATAAACAAATCGCAAAATTTTGCTCCAAAAATGGCTTGAAGAGCAATTACAAGACTGACATATTTTATGCAATTACTCCATAAACGATAAGGCATTTTATATATGAGGCACTGTATACATTAAAATTATAATTTCACAGTACACACTAAACCTTGAATTTATATATACAAACACAAGATACAATTTCAAATGGGAACTGGTAGGGCCTACTGGACCATTTTAAAAATTTTACTTTCATTTAGCTTACTACTGGACATTGGTTTTTTAGGTTAAAGAAACGCACATGCGATCGTTAGTGTTCGAATATTTCGAGTTTAACGTTTTATATTTCTAAGAAATGAAAAAATGCGCTAAAAAGCGTGGAGGCACATTTTAATTCTGTGTTGTAATTTATTATAATGACTCAAAACACGAAATATTTTAGTTTTTTGTTTTCCTCGGAAACGAAAAACGTTGGAATCGTAATCTTCAAGCACAAAACAGCACTAACGTAGCAATAATAATCACATGTGGTTTCATCTAATTAAAAATGTATGGGCGGGGCTAACTTCACATTTGACTTTTTTAAGAACAGCGAAAAAATTTGAGAATCTTTTGGTTTGGCATTTAATAGCAATAGTGTGTGTGTTCATTATTTCGATAAGTAAAAGTTGGCCCCTCTCCGTTTTTTTAGCGCATTTTTTAAGAATCAAAAAAAATGTGCTATTGATTGCGTTTTGTCCGTCCGGACCCACCTTTGCCGTTTCGAACTACTTCTAGGGGAATGGTATTCTAATGAAAGGTCTGATCGAAAAAAATTGGTTTGTACAAACTATAACTTCCTCGTACGACTGGTCGGGGGGTTTAAAAATCTCTCATTTTATTCTAATTAAAGGTCTCGACGAAAGGAATAGTTTTCTACCAACTATTGCCCTTCTTTCTGTCCTGTTATCAAAGTACGGAGTGGAGGGGGAGTGGAATTAGTTTTATCCTTCATTGAACATTGTAATGAAAGGTCTCAACGAAAGGAATTAATTTCTACCAACCATAGCCCTTCTCCTCGACCTTTTATCGTGATCGGATATATTCCCTTATACCTCAAGAACAGATTGTCTGAAGAGGGTACTCACAAAGGGCGATCGAGACGTCTGCAAGAAATATATCCATTGGTGATGATAAAACAAAAGCTCTTTCGGTTAAAAAAATGCGCTTTATCTGTACAAGAGTTGCGCACAATTTATACTTCTTTTATTTTATGGTATGTCGTAGCGCTAACGATAGCCTTCGAGCACTAACGTTGCATTAACTGTCGACACATTTTTGTCAAATTATTTTATGTGGGCGGGGCCAACGTCGCATGGGTAGGTAGTTTTGTTACATCTAAATGAGTGTAGAACAACCTTGATGTATATTTGTCAAATAGTTAACTCTTTGAGTCTAAATACTTTTTGCTACACTACAGTCATGTCCAAATGCAAATCCATTGTAATTAGGTATGTACAAACGATTAAAAAATTAATGTTTTAATTTTTTTGTAGATCGGAAGGTCATCCGAATCACCTATAGACTTTGTAGTAATGGATACAATACCTGGTGATAAAATAGGAGAAAACAAAGTTGTGCAAAGTACAATATCTAGATTTGCCTGCAGAATTTTAGCAGATCGTAATTCGAAGATATGTAGAATATATGCTGCGGGTTTTGATACTTCTAGAAATATATTTTTAGGGGTAAGTGCACAATTCTGTGAGACTTTCAATCAATATTATTTGTATTAGGAAAAGGCAACTAAATGGCAGGATAACGGCAGAGATATTGACGGTTTGATCACAAACGGTGTCCTTATTATGCATCCCAATGGCAGTTTTTGTGGTGGAGAAGGCAAGTGCGGTCTTTGGTTGGAAACATCGGTTGGCGGCGGCGTATTTTCATTGAGGGAGTCGAGATCGGCGCAACAAAAGGGTCAAGTGGTAAGTGAATTTTGTATTCCGGACTGGTAGTATTGTCATTTGTATTAAATTACAGGTGGAAGGGGCAACGAACAGCTTACAAGATGGCACTCTTATTGATCTCTGCGGAGCCACTCTTCTGTGGAGATCGGCCGAAGGATTAGCATTATCGCCGGTATGTTATTGACATAATAACACTTGCGGATCTAACCGTATTGTTTACAGAGTAAACGAGATCTAGAAAAGGAAATTGATGAAATAAATGCTGGCAGACCGCAATGTCCGGTGGGTCTAAATACGTTGGTAATACCAAGAAAGGTTACAGGCAACGAAAGTCAACAACAACCGTACGTCTATCTCACATGCGGTCATGTGCAGGGGTTACACGAATGGGGACAGGATAAGGATTCGGGAGCTAGAAAGTGTCCAATTTGCTTAAAGGTAATCTTGCTTTCTGTTTATTAAATAATGTCCTAATCGTATTTTGCAGTTGGGTCCTGCCGTGAAAGTTTGTATGGGATTAGAGCCAGCTTTTTATGTTGATTCGGGTCCTCCCACTTTCGCATTTAATCCATGTGGACACATGGCTACAGAAAAGACTGTAAAGTGAGTATATTTAAATGTTGTATAGTTCGTTCACATGTTTTAATAGACATGAAAAGCAAAATGTAGTATGCATAAAAAATGTACATACTCGCATCTGAAAAAGTAAATAAGTAGGTACTAGCCAGGACTAGTTAATTCGTGACGTTGACATGTTAATTCAATACTTGAATTCATTCCCATTTCATATGTGCTTCTTGAATTATTTTGGCTTTTTTGAAATAATTCTTAAATTCTTAAATTTCAGAATACGTTATATTTACAGCACCCGTAATCAATTTTTTGATTACAACACGCCCCTTCATAGATCAATTAGTAGAGGGAAATGCTCCTTAGACAAGAACTACAAACGTATCAAAATACTTTTAAAGGGGATCACAGATTTGTTCATAATTTAGAACCCTATTCCGTATCCCAGCATCTAAATATGTAATGGGTAGATTTGAGTTGCTTTATTGTTGGTGCATTTTCCAACTCATGTTGGAAAGCGGTATTATGGTCACTTTCTTCATCCGTCCGTCCAAGGCGTTCACTACTACAGTTTTCAATATATTTAGTTCGTTCTTTTTGCATTCGGTAAGTAGCTTATAACTCTGAGACCTGAGGCAAGAAAAATCTTGACGATTAATGTTCACATTCGCAGACTGCGCAATGTCAACTTTCATATTTGTAGAGATACATTTTTTTAAAGATACTTCTAGTAAAGGCAAACATCGCGTATTGTAAATACTAGGCGTGCGCATGCGCAAGCTGCTCAATACTAACTTTCTTATTTGTAGAGATATTGTGTTGAAATTTTAACAACAGATGCTTCTAGTAAAAGCCCTCATATCATATATTGTAAAAATCAGATGTGCGCATGCGCAAACTGCACAATGCAACCGTTCCTATTTACAAAGACATTTTTTGAAATTTTAATACAAAAACTTTAAAAAAGTTATACAGAGTGATTCATGACACATGAGAATGCAAAAACTTTGAGTTTTTTTAGGTGTTAACTGATTTTCGTTATTCTAAAATAAATTCCTACTCAAAAAAAATAAGGGCAATTTGTTACGGTTTTTGTAGAAAATGAATGGAAATGATATTTTATGCATGCAGAATGCTCCAAAGAAATGTAATAATGGATCTGTAAATTTTACCAGTCGTAAAAATATATCAAACTGGAAAATTTTTTTGCCCATTGTTTGTAATTGTTTTTAATTTTTATCTTAAATATCAAAGTCGTTTGTATTTTGTCTTTCACGTTGACAGCATTTTAAATGAATGAATAAAAAGTAGGGCATCACAGTTATATTATAATAATGAGTTCGGGTTAACCAACAGTAAAATCTGAAATTGTGGAAAGCTGACAATATTTTAGCTGAATTGAATACATATTATAAATATTATTATTCTTAGAGGTAGTTTATTGTACCCTCTAGTTGTAGTCTCACTCCCTTAGAATGTCAATATCCAATCTAGAATTCTCCTGGGAGCAGCCTGTTGTAGCATTTCCAGCTGCATTTTCTCTTCATTCAACAAACCTGTGCCTTGACCTGTTGTATGCCTCTCAGTGAGATTCAGAATAGTTTATTTTCCTCCTAACATCTTGTGCGAAGTGCCCATATTGGGGGACTCTACGTACTTTTGTGCTGTATCTCTCTTGTCGACGTACTATTTATATGTTGTTAACTTGTTATTCCATATTGTACAGTTGCAGTGATGGTAACCAATCAGAAAATTCAAATTTTTAACCTCACAATGTTAATAAACAATGCAATATTTATTATTTAGGGTAAAAATGGTTCTCAATACATGAATAAATACATCTTTATAGGACAGTTTAGTGGTACAGAACTGTATTAAAACTTTAGTTTCATATATAACCATGTAAAGTTAAGCAAATAAAGTTAAATAACAAAAACAGCTGTTTGCAAAGATACCATGTCAAACGGACAAACGTCCTTACAATCGCCAAGCTTGCGCACTTTTACAATCAACCCGGCAAAGGATAAATACATTGCAACTTACTAATAGAAAAAGATGACAAGTATAAAAATGCACGTTGGAATGTTGGCAACGGTTATCTTATGCTTATGCTTATGAGATAGCTCTATCCATGTATATATCTAAGCACTCAACTATAATTATACTGGAACGCGCGCTCCGTTGGCCAGCGCGATCCGAGAGAGAGGGCCACAAAGAGCATCTCTGTCCTACTTTCGCGCATGCATAGAGCAACCCATTTGATATGTTTTGAATTTATATTAATGATCAGTTTCCTAATGAGTAACAGTGACAGAAATCCCTCTTGCAATATAATCTCTCTCGGCGCGCTACGTTTCTATGGCAAAGACCGGCAGTGCGCGTTCCACTTTAAAGTGATCACTGACATCAAAAGGTCAGAAAAACTAGATTTACAAGCAAAATTGATTTGCTATATTTTCACCATCACATTTTTTAAAATTTGTATTTCACAAATAACCACTTGACTTATCATGCTTACCCAAACTTACAAGAGCCCCAAGATTTACTGGGTTTACAAACACATGTAGCAAACTGTTTAAAAACAATTACAAACACCTTAAATCTAAGATAACACCCTTACTTTCCCCAATACTACCAAAATTAAATCTACCCAAAACAAATTTAATATTCATCAAACACCACAGATGAAAATAGGAAGAAAATGATGGAGCTGTCGGCCATTCTTTTTTCTGTCTGTACGAATTATGCCTTTGACTTGACGCAAACACAGGGATGCTGCTTTCTTCTAGATTTCCACTGCTGTCTTCTTCGATGAGCGCATAATTCCCCATAATGGACTTGTCAATTGGCTTTCACGAACTTGTGATATCAAATCTATGGATTATTTTCTGTGGGGATATGTGAAGTCTAGAGTCTACGCCGATAAACGACAGACGTTGGACTATTTGATCGGCCATTTAATTTTTGTCTGTTGTATGATCATATTTACAAGTTTCCTAATTCCTCTGGATTTCTCTTTTACTTTTACTCTTGGTACTGTGAGACAGTTACTTTTATTGGAACTAGAGCGAAGATTTGTTCTAATAACATTAGTAATAATAATAATAATAGTTTATTGCCATGCATAAATTCATTTACATTGGCATTGTCATGAATGTAGAAAAAACTAAAAACATAAAAAGGACAAACGTTATACATTGAGGAAAATAAGTTGTTAGTGTGTCCGGTTTAATTCGCATCAAGCTCGCCAAAGGAGTAGTAATTTTTTTCAAGTACCTAGATGTAATTTTAACTTTTTTTTAAACAATTGAAGATTCCTTGATTGTTTTATTGCCTTTGGTATAGCGTTAAACACTTTGATGCAATTATAGTAATAACCTCTCTCAAAACGAGTTGTTCAGTGAGTGGGTATGCTCAAATTGTCACCATTCCTTGTATTCATTGCGCTGTAAATATGGCTATTTTGATTGAAATCAGTTATGTTTTGCCACGTACGATCCGAGACCTGCTTGCACCACTTCAAGTTTTGGTCAATATGGACCCCTAAGAATTTGGCCACTTCAGTTTGTTGAATGGACTTGCCAGACATTTTTACAAGTAAGGATTGGTCATTAACGCATGTGCTATAAGAGCAGTTTTTTGTGTGTTAAGGATTAAATTGTTATTATTGTTAGAATGGTGTACCATTCTCTACCATGTTTTTTGATTAATGTTAAACTGTCGGACAATTCCTGAGCAGTTTCACTGGCAAACAAACATGACGTGTCATCGGCATACTGAATAAGTGTTGGAATTTGTAGTGATGGTTTTAGATCATTGACGAAGAGTAAAAAGAGCAATGGGCCAAGGATGGACCCTTGTGGCACCCCTTTGTTTAAACTAGTTGTCTCTGACAGTGTTCCAGAACCATTGCTGCTGTTTTCAATATAGACCTGAGATCTACTACTCAAGAACGACTTCATCAACTAGTATGAAAATAAATGCCTACAACTCAAAACCAAAGCTAGAGATGCTCGTGTGAGCTGCCTAGAATATTTGTAAAATGGCGCCATCTATTTACATATCAAGAGCTCATTAATTTTAAGAACCAATTTGTGTCTTGATTTACAAGGCAAAGATTCAACTCTCGCATTGGAGGTTTATATAACCTGACGCGAAAACTAGTCCCTGGAAACAAACCAAAAAAAATTTGACTGGTTTAATGATGAACGACACAAATTAAAAAAGAATTATCAATTTTGTAAGGCCCATCTGTAAATTTATAAATTTTTCAGGTATTGGGCCAATCTTGCCATTCCGCACGGAACGAATGGGTTCCACGCAATTTGTCCGTTCTGTGCATCCCCGTTGGGCGAATTTCCTGGTTACGTTAAACTTATCTTTCAGGATAATGTTGATTAGATAATAAAGTTGTTGTTAAAATTGAACATTTTTGTATCTGTATAATTCGGTACGATGCATGTGAGAATGTATAGGTTTATTTACCAAAGGTTCATCAATAGCAGTTGCGGCTGCGTATCACAAATCTAATTCCCTTTTTATGGAAACAATTTTTTTCCGATACTAAATATCATAAAAATCTTGTACAAATATTCAAGAATGCATTACATATTTATATATCGTGTAAGTAATTGTAACTATATTTGTACATAACGATAATGTGGTATATCTGCTGAAGTAATTTTGAGATGTTTAATTTAATGCTCAAAAATTAGGGTCGGACCTATTAATTATTGCCATGAGTTCTTATGTAATAAGTTTTAGTGATTGAAAATATTTTTGAAATTTTGGATCCATGTCTTTTAATTTTATGTATAATATTTTTTATTAATGCAAGTTAATGGCTAAGAGGAAGGGAACTATTGTACAAAGTTGAAGCTGGTAACGTGTGACTTGCATCTCTGTTGTACCGTTACTCCCTCAGCAATGCGCAACCGCTTGAATTTGAATTTGCTTTAACGCGTGTTTTGTTTATACTACCCTTAGATCATGATCTATGATATTACCACGTTTCCAGCTGACTACGCAAAAAAATTTTATTAATTATTAATGATGAACGAGAACGCTTGCATGTTGTTTAATTTTTAATTCACATAATATATGCCTTCATTTGTATGTTATGTGGAAAGACATTTACTAAACAAAACAGTTCAATCTAAGTAGACACACTAAAAACTAGATGCGCACATCTGTTTATTATTTACCCCTTACCCTTAGTTAGACAGTTCAACGCAAATTCACATTCTAGTGCGCTTGCGCAGTGTTGAGGCCACCGAGAGAGTCACGGTGCAACAGAGATGCAAGTATATGTGTACTGCATACATCTTTGTCTAAGTAGTATTTCACAAAATACGTATATCTCTGTACAGTGTCACTAACTTAGTATTTATAAGTATTTATAATGACACCCAACCTAAATTGAATGTCTTTTTGTTATTATTATTCTTGCGTTTGCTAATTTGGTCTGTGATAGGCTATATCCTCTAGCGGTATTATTGTGTACTAGCTACGTATATTATGTAAATAACAAAAACATTCTTCAGTTATATACCTACCGTATTTTTAATATACTGCTTAATGAAATTTTAAATCGAAGTGCAAATGTGTGAAATGGAAGACTGTTAGAAATAATTAGTTAATATATTACCTATACTATTTATATAACTTTTTAGTTGTCGCTTTACAATAGACTGCTGATAAAATTTTAAGTTCTCATAATTCATTATTCTTGAGTGTAGCCTTTACGACATGTGATTCAAAATAATGTAAATTTCATTACTTAAATTTATTCTTGTGAACATTAACGAGAGATCTTAAAATAAAATGACTTATATTTATAGGACATTTATTAAGTAAAATGAACAAGGTGAAGGAAAAAATGTTCCAAGACACATGACAACATCTTGGTGTTGGATACATAACAGTGCTATACCTATATGTGTTTCAAGAAGGTGTGTGGATGACGTGTTGGTAAAAAATAGTTGTCTGTCCCCAAAAGTCACTGTGTAAGTTGTGACGACAGGCTGGTATTCATATGAACATTCACCCCTGTAAAAATAATTTTTTGGCAGCCTGAACGTTAAGTGTAACGTTTCTGATACATCACAGGGCTGAATGTTGCACAATCATGAAGAGAAAATGACATTTGGTAGGTATAAAAGCTTCAGTTCAATGCAAATCTATTAATCTTGAAATAGAAAGTTGTGTGTCGAAGTGTGAATTGGTTTCCTTCTTGTGAGGTGACCAAAGTTACTATTGAAGTTTGGCAATTCAGTGTATGTGAAGCAAAATTTGTATGTGATGTTTGTTTTTAGCTAAGACACAACCTAATCGATCTTAGGAAGCATCTGTTTGAATTATTAGAACAGGCACCTTAGGATGATAAACTGGTAAATCACCCGTTCAGAAACAATGACAAGGTGTAAGTTTTTGAACCCCTTTTCATGTTTTTCATTCCATTCACATTCACCATCGAGCCTTACTAAATTATGCAATTCCGCAGTCATTTGGAATAAAGTATGCTAATTATTTGAGCAGAAACTGTGAAAATGGAATTTGTTCTCCTAATTCAAATTTTAAAATTCGTTTTTTCCTTTTGCGAAATCATATTTACCCTTCAAAATTCAGTGAATTTGCACAAAACTTCATCTAAAGATCATTGAACAACTGGAATCCTTTCCAACAGTCGCTTCCCCAACCACTGAGTTTTCTGATTTATCATGTGAAAATAACATGTTGATCACATTACATAGTTTTTATACAGGGTGCTTGGATATCTTGATACGACCCTAAAGTACATTTTTTCATACGAACCACCCTATATTGATTTTGTTTTTGAAAAGAGCGTAAAATTTCCTACATTTTGAGGTAGCACTTTGTTATATTTGTATTAAATATTATTTGCAATATTGCATTTTATACGTTAAAATATGTTTATTACAGACATCTAGGTTTCCAAAAACTGTGTATCGCGATGGATTCTACTTAAAGTGTTTCAAGAATTAAGATTTTGTCAAAATCAATTATCTTTAATAATAGGAAAGGTATGAGGCAACTCCCTAGCTGCCAAACAATTAGCTGAATTGTATGTGCGCCAGTAATTTCCTCTTTAAAATTGATTTCCAGACACCTAGGCCCATTTTTTCTATCGCTTAAAATAAAGGGCGTTTCCGTAAAAAAGTGTCCAATTTGGGCCACCTTGTACAGGGTGAGTCAACGATTGCGCGGAGTAACTTTAATGCCTTGAAGATAAGATTTTTCGATAGAGTGCTTTTGTATTATGATATGGTTGAATATTCTCCATATTTTAAAAATATTTGGAATTATACAGGGTGCGCCCACAAAGTAGGGCGCCAAAATGGTACATTTTTTAAAATAGAAGCCCTTGTATTTGAATGCTTTTTTGAATTCTACGTGTAATTGTACGTCTTTTTTATTATATGGTTCATATCCGAAAAGCTAGTAGTTTTAAAGATAATTCGATTTTTAAGAAAAATTGGGCGTTTGTAAGCGTCAGTATATTGTCAAAATTATTACTTAAATCTTGATTTCAGGTTTTATATCTTTTATCCTGGGTTAAGCAAAAGTCAAATAAATACATCTACTATGAAACATTAAAAAATCTCACACTTTTTTAATGGAACACCCTGTATATTTTTCTGTCATCTTTTAGCTCCTCCAAAAACCTTCAACTTTTGATAATAATGTCCTACACCTATCTCTGATATTTTTCAAAATATCTTGGTTTTTATGGTTTTAATATACTAATCTTAAATAAGTTATATGTAATTTACATAATAACGGGGTGGCCATGCAAAAAAAAGGAAATTTTTATTTGCCTCGTCCAAAGCTAAAATCATATTTATTAATTCATTTTTCGAATAATTCATTTAAATCTAAAAACTAGAGAATAAATTTGATAGTAAAAACATAAACAAATACCTTGGTTTTCCTAGTTTTTATATTTTAATCTGAAATACGTTCTAATTTACATAATAACGAGGTGAATATGAAAAAAAATGAAACTAATATCACTGACTGGATGACATTAGGAGTTAAATTAAATTTGCTGTGTAGTCAAATGTTTTTACTTATTCTCCAGTTTTTGGACTTAGAATAAATTGTTTGAAAAATAAATTAATCGATATGATTTTGGTTTTGGACGAGATAGATAAAAATTGCCTTTTTTTGGATGGTCACCTCGTTACTATGTAAATTACATATAACTTATTTAAGATTAGAATATAAAAACCAGAAAAACCAAGATGTTTTGAAAAATATCAGAGATAGGTATAGGGCATTATTATCAAAAATTTGAAGGTTTTTGGAAGAGCTAAAAGATGACAGAAAAATATACAGGGGGTTCCATGTAAAAAAAAGTGAGATTTTTTAATATGAAGTTTTGCAACTTTGGACCTACCAAAAAAACACACTGTAAGCTATTTTTTAAATATTTCATAGTAGATGTATTTATTTGACTTTTATGTTAAGTAAGGATAAAAGATATAAAACCTGGAATCAAAAATTAAGTAATAATTTTGACAATATACTGACGCTTGCAAGTGCCCAATTTTTCTTACAAATTGAATTATCTTTAAAACTACTAGCGTTTCGGATATTAACCATATAATAAAAAAGACGTACAATTGCACGTAGAATTAAAAAAAAATATATATATTCTATTTTAAAAAATGTACCATTTTGGCGCCCCACCCGCACCCTGTATAATTCCAATATTTTTAAAATGTGGAGAACATTCAACCATACCATACTACAAAAGCACTCTATCGAAAAATCTTATCTTCAAGGCATTAAGTTACTCCGCGCAATCGTTGACTCACCCTGTAGATTCATTATGGACAATATGTATTTTATGTCCAGTATGGATATTCTATAAATGTACATTGTGGATGTGATATGGTTGGTTAATATTTGCAATTTAAATCTAAAATGTACAAGGAGTATATACCTAATACGAGGGCTATCCTGAAAGTAACAGACGTTTTGATATAAAAAATTAAGAAAGTGTGAGAAACAACTTTTATTATATACATTTGGAAGCTACACTCTTAGGCTATTTTTCAACATAGTCGCCATTCATATTGAGGCACTTATCATAAAGTGGTACACGTGTTTTGATTTCAGCTTTGTATACATCCGCCGCCTGCGACTTTAACCACTTGTTAACGCCGGTTTGAAATTCGGCATCACTGCCCATGTGCTGTGTTGCGAGCGAGGTCTTCATCACTGGGAAGAGGTGGAAGTCGCTTGGCGCTAGATCCGAGTTGTATGGAGGGTGATCCAAAATCATCCACAGAACTGTCCAGTATGGTTGACTGAGTACGGGCGGGCATTGTCGTCGAAAAACAAAACTTCCACCTTGGCCCAGCGATGAAGACCTGGCTCGCAACGCAGCGGTTCGATAGGGACGCTGAACTTCATGTTACCGTTACCCAGTGCAGGTTAAAATCTCAGGCGGCGGATTTATACAAAGTTGGAGTCAAAACACTTGTGCCACGCTATGATAAGTGCCTCAATTTGAATTGCGCCTGTTTTGATAAATAGCCCAAGAGTGTAGCTCCAAAATGTATATAATAAGAGAGTTTCTTTACAAGTTTACAATTTTTTATTTCAAAACGTCTGCTATTTTCTGGACAACCCTCGTATATGCAATATTATAAGCATTGAATTTATAGATAGTTTATAAATGGACGGCCCAAATGGGTGCAACCCCATCCCCCTTCCCTGACTCAACCTCGATCCAGAGGCAGGCTCCTAGAGCTATAACTGCGGTCTGGCGAGCAAATGGGTAGGTAGTGAGAAAAAGAGGCAGAGGTAGGATGACTCAACACTGACACAACCGCGCTGATGTAGAAAAGCCTTAACCAAAGGCGGGTGTCAGTAAGGCTGGAGCACCATGTAGTAGCTCCAAGCAAGCTGCCAAAAGGCAACTCAGAGTGGCGATTATAGATATCAATAACGCTCTGGGTAGGCTAATGGTTAACCAGGCGGATATGGTACAAAATCATCCTGGCCAAGGTTCTTAACCAGGATCTGTGCGCACTAAAAGGCGCTACACTACCACCCACGTTCCGATGGTGGAGGTACTCTGGCGAGATCCTAATAAGAATATATAGTGGTAGTGAGAACAACCA